CCTCCTTGTAGACACCTGTGAGTTCAAAACCCCTATTTTTAGTTTCAGGGAAAACAGCCTAAGAAGTCTGATCAAAGCTTGTCTGCCCGGAGCTCTGAAGTAAACTCTAGCTGGAGAGAGATGCAGAGCAGGTTCTGCTGTTGAGCTGAAGTGTGGTGGTCTGAGCGGATGCCAGCTCGCCCATCCATTTTCCTCGGCTGTTAAGTTCCAACTCCAATGTTGGTGCTTACATTTCCACACCCTGTTAAGCAAAACACTTAAAGCCATCCACACACTCCACATCGGTGACATTCAAGGGCACTCCTATGGAGATGTTAATCTGCAGAACAAGAGGAACCCTCCTAATTTCACAGATGCCTTTGATAGTTCTCTTTCCTAGGATCCCATTTCACAGGCAGCTGGGCAACTTTGGCCAGTGGGTGACCCAATGCCTGGCAATTTGGAAAATGTCACCGAACTTTAATCAGACTCTAATATGGCACCTCTACATAACATAAATATTATTAATGTTTAACCAGATACCTTTGTGTGGTGACAATACAACTCAGTATCATTCCCCTCCCCCTCTGTCTTAAAAAGAGAAACTTAAAAGCACACGAGAAACCATAAACCTTTGAGGAACTATGTGACATCTCAAAAGTCCAATTGCCTTTGAAAGTGGCCAGTTGAAGATAGTCTTGACCATGTCTCCCAGATGTTAGCACAGAGAGCATCCAGGTTACACAATGCCTTTCTACAGTGACATCAGGCAATGTGTGCTGCCACTGGACGGTGCAAACATTCTGTGTAGGGGTGGAGAGGTGGGAAGGACTGACAGGAGAGGCAGAGAAGGAGGAGAAGCAGGGTGGGGGAAAAGAAAGGTCTGTATGGGAAATCAGTGGGAGGAGAATGCCCAGGCTGCTCCTCCTCTAAACTAACCCAGTCCCAGCCCTCTGGGGGAGTGTTTCCAATCTCCCAAGGCTTAAACCATAGATTAGTAGACAAATGACTGAATGGTTGGTGAGGCCTTATGGGAAGTGGTTATCTTAGACTGTTATAGATCCAAAATCAAGATCATAAATACCAACCAGCTGAAAAGTGAGAAAGGATGTTAGCAAATACAAAAAGCATGGCCCTCAACTGTGCTCCTGTACTGCTTCTGACCAGTCATTAGGTCTTCATGGTAGTGTATAGTGTGGCCAAGGAACCACTTTCATACAAGGGGAAAACATCAAAAGAGGTGTAGATCTCTACTTCTTTTTTGGTTTGGGACAGGGTCTGTCTATGTAGTCCTGACTGTCCTGGAACTGGCTATGTAGGCCAGGCTGGCCTTGAACTTATGGAGATCCACCTGCCTCTGCCTCCCACGTGCTGGGAATAAGCGTGTCTGACATCACCACCTGCAGATTCCATTTTATCCTTACGTACCCTGTGTGTGAGAGCGCAATGGAAGACAAGCGAGGCAGCGGCCTCAAAGGGATAGGCGGACTGTGGTCGAGGATACCTGATCCCCTCTCTGGTCTCTGTGTACATACACATCTGCCCACACAGACAGACAGACACACATACACATATACACACAGATACACAGACAGACAGACACACATACACATATACTCACAGATATATAGACAGACAGACACACATACACATATACACACAGATACACAGACAGACACACATACACATATATACACAGACACACAGACATAGGCAGGAAGACAGACAGACAGACAGACAGACAGACACACACACACACACACACACACACACACACACACACACACACACAGAGGCATGGCTCTTTCTAGAACTGAGCTGATGCTTCCGAGATCCTGGTTTTGGCAACACACTGCTTCAGAGTATGGCCCCCTCGGCACACTGACACCTCACACTGAGAAAGCCTAGTAGGCAGCAGGTGCAGGAGGGGCTTCCATTAAAGTTGTCTTTCTGCTCGAAGGCCAGACCCCTTGGGACATTCTCTGTTGCTGTGAACCTCTCTCCCAGATATCTCTCAGCCGAGAAACTGATGCAGACCTCAGGAAGGGAGACCAAAGTTGACCACAGAGCAGACTTAGTGTGGGCTGTCAGCTGTTCTAGACTGTCCAGTCCTCTAAAAGTGATTTCTACTCTGAATTGCTCACCTTCTCCGCTTCCTTCCCCTTTATGCTACAAGCGTGTGTGCTCCCGCTCTGTGTTGGGCTGTTGGCTAGTCACTTTTCTCATTTAGCTCCTGGGCTCGCAATAAACTTCTAGGCCTTCCTCTGCTGATCATCACTGGTTTATTTCAGACTAAATGCTGATTCTCAGAAGTGTGGGAGAGAAGTTGGAGTCCCCCTTACAATTGCAAGTCTTGTTCCTTCAATTTATGGGTGAGCAGAAGAAAGACAGTGATTCTCTTTATCACCCTTAGGATAAATGCACTTGCTTCCTCAAACTGGAACAAGGGTGCACAAAGTTTTCCTACAGAGTTTGGTGGGATGGGGGGTGGGGCCGGGGAGCCTGGTTGGTGGGGGACACACATGGATGGACAGACAGACAAAGGATGGGGACAGGGATGGGACCACCCAGAGTCCCAAACTCCAAATTGCTGTTTGCCCAATATGACATTTTTGAGCTGTTTGACCTACTTGGGGGGAAATTCAAGCTCTAGAAGGAAAAATAGTAGGGGTCACCATCTTTAGAAATGTGGTTTACTAGATGAACCCAGCTGGTGTCTGGCTGCCTTCAGCCCCCAACCTCTCAGTACTCCACTACCCACCATGGCCACAAATCAAGTATTTCCCATGGAGATGCTGAGGTACGGAGGAAGGCCAAAATGGCTGGAGTCTCCACACATGCGCTGTCTCTGTAAACGATGCCAGTCTCTGAGAACTATCTGGGAGGGCAAGGGAAGTTCTGCACAGTCAGCATCATGGTTTGCACTTCATCCCTTACCTTGCTTTGAAATGATTTATTTAATAGACACTTTAGGGATTCGGGAGAAACGGCTCTTCTATTTAAACTATTTTATGTTTCTCTAAGTGAGAACAGATCGATTTCTTTCACAAGGACATCAGACTCACAGGCTGGAAAAATCTCAATTAGTCATCAGCCCGGCTCACAGGGGCCACTTGACCCACTGGGGAAATGCAGAGTGAGAGTATTGTGTGAGTCGCCTCCTGGATGGCTCACCTTGTCCAGTGTGTCGTTCAGAGCATCCAACATCTGTATTTTGGCAGCGTTTGAGATGGCACTGTGAAGATGAAAAGGAACTTTAAATAAGATCCAAAGCTCGGGGCTGGGAATGTAGCTCAGTGGTTGGTAGAGGATGTACCTGGCATCCGCAGACCCTAGATTCAGTCCCTGGCACCACCCCTGCAAAGTTACTTATTGGATTGGGGAGATGTTTCCGGCCTAACTTTATAACATCAGGTCATGGTAGAAGAAGCAGGGAGGAAAACAGTCTCTGTGTTGGTAAGCTTCCAGGCTTTGTCTTAGGGTTTCAGTCACTGTGATAAATCATAAGCAACTTGGGGAGGAAAGGGTTAATTGCATCTTATACTTCCAGGTAACAGTCCATCCCTGAGGGAAGTCAGGACAGAAACTCAGGCAGGGCAGGAACCTGGAGACAGGGACTGAGGCAGAGGCCGCGGAGGAATTGCGTACGGACTTGCTCCTCATGGCTTCCTTATCTTGTCTTCTTCTAGCACCCAGGACCAGTAGTGCAGGGAGGCACTGTCCACAGAGAGCTGGGCCATCCCGTATCAGTCATCAGTCAAGAAAACCTTCCACAGGCTTGCTTACCAGCCTGTTGGGTGCGGGCGTTTTCTCTACTGAGTTTTCCTCTTCCAAAATGACTCCAGCCTGTGTCAAGTGGACACCAAACTAGCCAGCACGTGGTGGCTATTTTCTTAAATAGGTGAATGGTGATTTCAAAATTTTGAGGCAGCTATTTTTTAATTCAGGGGATTTGCTTTGTCATAGAGCATGTTATGAAAAAGGCCAGATGAGGTGCAATATTTTAAAGAGGTGGCCAGGTGGCTACAGAGAGGAGAATGTGTAGGATGTGATGGGAGAAACACTCTAGTCCATATCCCAGAACCAATATTCATCACGATGCTCACCTCTACCCAAGCCTGACTGCCTTCTCAGAAATTCTTGGGGCCTTGGTTTGTCCCCAGATAACTTGTGGAGAGAGAACTATAAGCGATCCCTACCTTGTTTTCTCCAGTCCTGTTTTTTTGGTGTGTCTTTCCAAAACGCCCATTTCTTGTTTTTTGGAAATTCGCATTCCTCCGGCTTTCACTGGAAACAATAAGCAGTGAGCACACGCACGTTAGAACAGCTTTGTTTTCAGACAGGACTCCCATCTAAGGAGAGCTTCCAAATTTCCACAGAAAAAACTTTTATCTAAACAGCAGAATAAAAGAAAAATAAAACCTAAGGAAACCAGGGCAGGGAGGGGAAAGGCCCGGGGTTTGCTTTTTTCTGCTCAGAGAGGTGGGATCGAGGTTGAAAGGGCAGAAGGTCACACCTTAGATTTAGGAAGAATAACAGCACACTCCCTCAGGCATTTAGCTGAAAAACATTTTTTCTCTTGTTATCAAACCAATTACATTCTTCAAGATAGCAACCCATAATTACAATGTGACCCCTCTGTTTTCCCACAAGATTAAAGCTTTTGCATGGCTTGCACTTTTGTTTTTTCAACCGAAGTTTTCAAATGCCAGATTCTGAGAGATGAGCCAAATTCCAGGGTGCTGACAGACATTTAATTCACACAAAGGGCTTTGAATTCCAGGGGATAGCCACCTTCATCTCAGACCCCAAATCTCCATGTTGGCTGAGCTCTGCGGTTCTAATGAGTAATTAAACTGTATTAATAGTCATGTCATTCAAGAGTTCAATTAGTGTTAATTAGGCTACAGACGACCTAAAAGCAATTCAAGTGTTTAACAATGTCAGCTGAAATCAGCTTTGGAAAAGGAACAACTCGCTTCAGATTGCAAGTCAAAACAAACGTTTTCCTCTTTTTCCAGAAAAATCACACATCTAAAATCTGACAAACTCAGATGAGAAGTGCCTGGCTACCCGGATGTTGATTTGTTTGAACCTGATAATTCTCTTTGAGGAAATGCCACTTGGGCAGTTCTCTAAAACAAATTCCTATAAGGTGAAAAGTAAAGAAAACCTATTTCTCAAGCCTTTGTGTGCCGACTTTATCACTGTTCTTATAAATAGTAATACTTAAATCTTTTGATAGGGCCTACATGCAGAAGAAATCAAGAAACATGAAAAGATTTGTGAATCCCTGTCACCATCCCCTTCCAGCCTGCGGACAATCTCTCTGGACATTGCTAAATCCCAAGTTCCTAGTTCCTAGACTTCACCCACAGATGTTAAACACATTATTTGTTTTAAATGGTAAGATAAGATACTAACTATTCCCTATTTGGTTCATCCTGCGCCCCCCCCCCCCCCCTTAACCATACATTTTATAGAATGTTCTACATTTCTCTATCGTTATCTGTCTTCTTCTCCTCCGTCCCCCTCCCAGACCCCCCCCCCCAAGACAAGGTTTCTCTGTGTAGCCCAGGCTATCCCAGAACTTGCTCTGTAGACCAGGCTGGCCACAAATTCAAGAGATCTGTCTGCTTCTGCCTCCTGAGTGCTGGGACTAAAAGTGTGTGCCACAATGCTCTTTCTTCTTAATATCTTTTTGCAATTCCATCATTAAACCTTCTGTGTTTACATAGCCACTTTCCTAATGTTAAAGCATCTCATGCACTTCTAATTCATAAACAACGCTGTAATGAGTATCCTTTTTATAATATAACTTCACACTAGCACACGGCTATCTATCTGTAGGATGTATTTCTAGAAGTGGCTTTGCTAGGTGCGTTTGGAATTTTGCTAAATCTTGCTGAACTGGCCCTCACAGAGGTTGCATTAGTTTACAGTCTCATCAGCTACAATGGCAACGATTGTTTCTCCAGTCACAACGAGCTAGAAAATATTTTCTCTTATCAACCAGTAAGCTAAAAACTAGAACTATAATTATACACATATTGTCTTAGTTAGCTTTCTATTGCCGTGAAGAGACATCATGACTGTGGGAAGAAAACATTTAATTGGGGTGGCTTGCTGTAGCAAGCATTTCGGTCGGGACCGTCAGCTCACAAATAATGACAGGAGACTTACTATTAATTATGAAATCTCGGCCTGTGCAGGGGAATCCATAAAAAGCGGCCACAGACTCCACCCCCCTCTTCTTCTTCCTCTCTCTCCCTGCAGTCTCCATAGGCCTAAGCACATTCCCCTCTGTTCCTTCTCTTAATAAACTCTTATAGTGGGTTTTGTTGTGCCTCGTGGCTTTTCTTGCATGGTCAACAGCACTGTTTAATGAATAGCATTGTGCCGCGTAAAACTAACATTGGTGCTGAGATGAAGCAGGGCCTCCCAGCGCTCTGCATCCGGGACCCTGTACCAAGGTTTGTTCCATCTACGATCTACGACTGCCTGCTTTTTCATTTGCCTGACCGTGGGACCGCTTCACACAATACCGGCTGCTCCAATTGGTGAGTTTTACCTTTCCAGTCCCTAGCCATTTCCCAGGACTGCAGCGTGAGATGTATTTCTTGCTATCAGACCCCCGGGGTGTCCTTGGGCTGCGCACACACCGACTAATTCTCTCTTGATGAAGCACTGAATGCTGTTGGACCCTCCGGAGGGGGGCGGGGAGGGTTCCCTGTGCTACCTACGTATACCCTGGCCCTTACCCTTCTCTTGACAAAGAATTGGGTAACTTGTGCCAATCCACAGATCCTTCCTTGATCTTGGGGACACCTGAGATTGTGGTCTTGGATCACATTTGTTTTTTTAGTATTTTATTTTTTTCTCTCTGCCGCAGCCGTGGGAAATAAGGCTTTTTCCTCTTAGTCCCCCTCCTCCTCTGAAAAATGCCTGACGTATCCCTTAGATAACAATAAACATGGCCACATAACGGCTCCTTGGACCCCGATATTTCACAGGAATTATCTAACTTCTGCCAGAGAACGGTCAAATGAAGAGTTGCTTTATCCCCAAGCTTGTTACCTAAGCTCTGGACCCTCCCTTTTTGATTCTTTCTCTCCTGCCCACATGCTCCTAGCCATTCAATCTGAACCAGAGGACTCTGTGACTCCGAAGAACCTCCGCCGATCTGACCTTCACTCCCAGTCTCCGGTGTTGGGCGGGCCGCTACAACCGCCCAGCTCATCTCCCACCTCCACTCTTCCTGTCCCTCGTTCTCAAGCTGCCCTGAGAAGCACAGACTGGTCTAGGAGCAGGCCAGGATGCATGCAAATGAGTTTCACCAAACCAATGCGGCCCACCCACCTGGAGCTGAGGCGGTTCAGGATCAGGACCCACATCTAGCTAGAGACCAGGTTATAACCTGCCTCCTGGCAGGTCCTCCTAAGGCTGCCCTCAAACTAGTAAGCTATAAAAAGCTAAAAAACGTAATTCAAGATAAGGAATAAAGTCTGTCTCCTGTCTCCCAGAGCTTCCCTGACATCAGGGTTAAACTTAAGCATCTGGAGAGGGGGGTCCTCCCACAGGCAGAGGTCTTAGCTGTGGCACTCAAGGTGTACCATGGGAGAGATGAGAAAGCCTGTAAACAGAAGTGCAAGCTGCTGCACATGATAGCTGACTGGCTGCCTGATGGCTTCCAGGTCTCTGTTTTAATTGTGGTTAAAAAAAAAAAAAAAAAAAAAGGTCACTGGGCTCATGCGTGCCACCAACTAGGCTTTGTCCAAAGTGCCACCAAGAGGACATTGGTCAGCTGACTGCCCCTGTGCACCTTGTGGCATGGGGACATCAAACAGAGACCACCCCTCCAGCTGATCTCCTAGGCGTGGCCATGGCCTCACAGGGAACCCAGGATAGTTAATCCACCACCAGGGTGACCCATTTCTTTCCTTTTGGACACCGAACCATTTACTCAGTCCTGAGGGAGTTTTGGGGTCCCACCTCTCCTTCTCATTTCCCTGTTGTTAGGGTAGGGGCACAGCCTTACCTACCTCATCAGACCCCACCACTTAATTGTATTTTCAGGGGCATCCCTTCCCCCCCCCCCCATGTTTCTAGTGGTGCTAACCTGCCCTGTGCCCCTAATGGGACAAGATTTTCTAGCTAAGGCAAAAGCTTTTATTTCATTTGCTCCTCCCATTTGCCTTACTCCAGACTCGTCAGCTTCAAGACACTCTCCTGTCTCTACTGACCCTATTCTGCTACATCAGCTTCCCTCTGTGTCTCTAATAACATATTCAAATCTCCTAATTAACTACTCAGCTACTTGTTACAGGACCACCATGGAGCCAGAGGCCAAGGACCATCAAGTATACCCAGGCAGTAAGGAGCAGTAGCAGTCCAGAGGTATTTACACCCCCAGACTCAAAAGGGTCTGGACTCTGCTAAACTACTAAAGAAAACAGATGCCTTGAGGTTTGTCTTAGATAAGGCTTATCTCAGGTAAAAATTAAAAGCATGTTCTAAATCTCTGTCTCTGTTTCTGTCTCTGTCTCTCTCTCATAGAGCACTAAACATTATAATATCATGGCTACCAGCTCAAGATTTTAAATTCCCTGTAGCTGCTTCTTAACATGTTTAAAAATTCTTCTGAGCTCCAGAGCCAGCTTGAATCCATCTGTACAGCCCCTTGTCAGACCCAAGCAGACACAGAGCCCTAAAACAGTGAAGGGTGCTGGATGATTCCCAAAGCACCAGAGGACAATCCACTACCTCAGGACATCTGGCTGCCCCAAAGCTCCCTCCCTTACCCTCAAGAGTTAACCAATGCCCACTGAGTCAGCAAGAAGCAGTTTCAGGAGACACAGTGCCCCCATTCCCGTTCACCTGCCATTTTTTTTAATAATAAGCAAAGAGTCTGGAATGTTGCTACATGACCGTACATGCGCTGTCTAGTAGTCAAGCAAGAGCCTTAGTAATCCTGGGGACTTATGTCCTATGTAATCTGTGTGCTGCATGGTCACATAATTTGCGTGCAGCGTGATCAAGTAATCTATGCGCATGCATGGCATAGCTATGTAGTGTGCACACATATGTGCGTGTGCAAGAGAATCCATGAAAAGCAGGTCACAGACTCCTTCCCCCTCTTCTTCTTCCTCTCTTTTCATGCACAATCTCCATAGGCCTAAGCACATTCCCCTCTGTTCCTTCTCTCTCTCTCTCTCTCTCTCTCTCTCTCTCTCTCTCTCTCTCTCTAATCGAGACAGGGTTTCTCTGTGTAGTTTTGGTGCCTGTCCTGGATCTTGCTCTGTAGACCAGGCTGGCCTCGAACTCACAGAGATCCGCCTGTGTCTGCCTCCCGAGTGCTGGGATTAAAAGCATGCGCCACCACCGCCCTGCTCATAATAAACTCTTATAGTGGGTTTTGTTGTGCCTTGTGACTTTTCTTGCATGGTAAACAGGACTGCTTAATGACTATCGTTGTGCTGCATAAAACTAACAAAGGGAGCATAGTAAGGAAATACTGGACAAAAGCAATACCGAAAAGAAAAAGAAAAAGAAAACCAGCTGGGCAAACTCCAAGCTTTGTATCTCCATGTCTGATGTTGAAACACTCTTTGGATCTCCAACTCTGTTCAGCTTTGTTGACTACAACATACTTTTTTCTCTTGGGCTGGTTCTAGTCCCTGTTAGCAGCTCTCCTTAACAGATATCCCACAGCTCTGGCATCTCTGTTTGGATACTGCCGCACTCCAGCTGCATGATCGCACATGTGCAGTTCAGGAGCTTGACAAGGGGTCTTGTGTCTTACGTCATCAATGTGCACTGGTGATTACATAGGTGCAGTGTGATCATGGAATCTGCGCATGCATGGCGTAGCTCTGTAAGCCCGCCTGCACCTTAAAGAGCTGTGACTCAGACCCCACCCTCTTTCTGTGTTCTGTTTCCTCTTCCCCCACCATCTTTCTCTGCTTGTGCTCCTTCCCCAGGCCTGGTTCTCTTCCTCCTAATAAAGCTCTGATACTGGGTTCTGTCGTGACCCTAACCTTTCCGTGGGATAATCAACGCCGCTTATCATTCTTACACTAACATCTTGGGTTCTCCAAGGCAATCCAGGCTTCAACTTCATAGCTTCACACTACAGCCTCTCTACTAGGACTGCATTCAGGGACATCTTGACACATGATTGGCCTCAGCAGCATTTCTTAGGCACAGAGGCAATTTCTATAACCTGTTTCTTCTATCCTTAACTCTAAAGTCGGAATCATGTGGCTGAAGTTGCCAAGTTTTCCTGCTTGCTGGGACTGGAACATGGCCCCCTTGTTCAATTACATCTTCACCAGCTTTCTGTTTACCACCCTTCACTGCAAAAGCCTGGCTGGTTTTGAGCTTGCTCTCTATATCAGGCTGGCCTCAAATTAAGAGATCTGCCAGCCTCTGTCTTCCAAGTGCTGGAATTAAAGGTGTTCACTGCCACACCCAGCTCTAAACTTTTCTTAAATCCCTTTCCACAAGTTGGAAACTTAGCTGGGTGAAATCTGCCTGCCTTTGCCTCCCAAATGCTAGGATTAAAGGCGTGTACCATCACATCTGGCTCTAAGCTTTTCTTTAGTTCCTTTTCACTTGTTCTTGTTGGAAATTTAGCTGAGTAGAATCTTGCCCTGAGGTCACCACTCCCTTTATTCCATGTCTTTTATCTCCTTGAACAGAGAATTTAGCTCTATTCTAATTCCTGGTGCTCCTTTTCTCCTCAAAATTTTCATTTTGTTAATTTACCTTGCTCAGCTTGCTCCTTTTCATTATTAATCTTCATTAGCCTTACCACTAATGACTATAGGACAGAGTCTATATTAGGCTGTTTTGAGATTTCTTCTGCTAATGGAATTAATCCAAAACTCTTCACCTTAGCCTCAGGCAGACTCTTTGGACAAGGGCAAAAGGCAGCCACTTTCTTCACCAAAATATCATAAGAAAGATCTCTAGGCAACATACTAAAGTTCTTCTTCTCTGAAACCTCTTGAATGAGAGGTTCAAAATGACTCTTAGCACCTCTGTCTCCCATGCTCCTCCTAGTATGTTCCATTAAGCAGTGCTTAAAGCATTCCACTGCTTTCCAAAACCAAAGTACCAAAGTCCAAATTCCTCCAAACAAACACATGGTTAGTCCTGTCACAGCACTACCCCACTTCAGGTGCCAACTTTTGTCTTAGTTAGGTTTCTATTACTCTGAAGAGA